ATTTGATCTAATTTTCTGCGAAAGTATTTCAGCACATTAAATAAAAATATAACAACTAAACGGATCACCCTGCCGGGACCCAAGCTAAATGCTAAAGAACTTTGATAAAAATCCATTTTGACATATTGCTGAAATCCCATCTTTATAGAAAATGCTAAAACATCTTTTGATGTCTTCTCCAAAATTAAAAAGTGACAACGTTTTATCTACAAAAACCCAAGACAAAGAATCAAAAGCCTTTTCGATATCGATAAGGAGTAAAAGCCCAGAAATGTTATTCTCCTCTGTATATTGCATTATATCATAAATTAGTCTTACATTTTCTCCTATAAATCCGCCCTTTATAAATCCTGTTTGGTCAGTGTTAATAAGTTTGTCTAAATATATTTTTATTCTATTCGCTATGCATCCAGAACCAATTTTATAAATTCTATTAAGCAGTAGTCGGTCGCCAATTTTTAAAAATTGTTTTGGCTTATCGTTTTGATACACGTTATTATACCCTGTGTTTGTGTTACAGATAAGTTTCCGGATATAAAAGCATGGTTTAGAGCCCTGCAAACAAATACACCAATTCTGTTCCAAAAACATTTATAAAATTCTGCTGAAAATCCAGATGAGCCTGGACTTTTATTATTTTTCATATTCTTTCAAACGGTAGATGCTTTTCTAGTCTGATTTTACCCTCGAGCGATTTCGACTCTGTATTTGATAATGTTGGAATGTTTATATCTTTAACAAAGTTTAAAACATATTATCCTCTAAGTCATGTGAGGTACACGTATATAATGATTCATAAAAAAGTGCGGTTTCGTTTAAGATTTCTTCTTGTTTTGTTATTAAAGTACCATCGTTTTTCATGAATTATGTGATACATTTATTAACATAATTGCTTTTTTACAAGATTACTAAATAATTTACTTGGTTTCTCTCCATCAATTACCCAGTCAACTTTTGATCTCAAAATGTAACCTTGAAACTTATTTTCTTGTATAATTTTCAATTCGCTTCGCAGCTGTTCGAGTTTTTCATTATTTTGAATAGTTTCTGATTTTCCAGCATTTCAATATCTTTTTATCTGTATTTCCCTTTCATTACTTTTTTCTTATAAGAACCGTAGGATATGGATTTACCTCTTATTTCCATAAGTAAAGTTTCTAAAAGTAACTGATCGTTTATAACAAATTGTATATCTTTGTTTGGAACACTTTCATTTGTTTCGAAATTATAAACAGGTATGGCATATTGCTTTTTAAGGTCTTCAATTTTGTTATTTATTTCATTAACATATTGAATCTCTAAGTAGAGAATTGTTGTGTTTCCAGACCCCTTTACCATGCTTAAAATCACTAAATTTTAATTGCATTATAATAATTGAGTCAGACTGAAGACTAGGTTTGATAGAAACATTTTCACAGTATGGTAACATAAAAGAAGGTAAAAGAAAGAAATCGAGTCTTGCTTGTTGCAGTGGGTTTGCCTTTCGCCAAGTATATCGCTTTTTATCAGGCTGTAGTTCCTTAAAAGGATCAGTTAGACTTTTTTTCTTCCATGTGTTTCAAAAGAGTTGATCTTGCATTTTTATTATTTATATTTTTATAGTTATAATATTCTAAATCAGGATTTTGCACCAAATTGAAATCACCACAAATGCAATACGAGTCATTCCTATATTCTCAACGACCATGAAAATGGTCTCATAAAAGAACGGATTGTCGGAGTTGGGTCCGTATAACGATACTAAAGTAAATCTTATTTCTCCAACAGATGAGTCCAGTGTGACATAATTTTGGAAATCATCAACTATACTTTTATGTATTTTGTAATCTAGTGACTTTGAGAAACATATTGCAACTCCCCTAGAATTTGAAGATGAACAACTTAAAAAACATTCCGCATTCCACTGTGTATAAATGGTGTTAAATTGACTGTGTAGAAAATGTGTGTCTTGAAGACAGTAAATATCACATTTTGAATCTTTTATGTACTGAAATACTTGCAGCCTTTTCTTAATACCTTGTAGGCCTCTACAATTAACAGATACAATTTTTAATTCACTCATATTTTTCAGTAAGACAAGTATTTTGACTACATAATTAATACAAAGAGGTAATAAATACAAAAACATTGTCACAGGCAAACTAAAACAACAATAAAACATCATAATGTACACAAAAAATCTAACTTAACACGATTTTCACAACGAATCAACTAAAACAAACTATATTTACATTCAGGTATGGTATACATGTATTTAGTTATTTAGGCGGCTTATCCTAGCTTACATAACACTAGACATAATAAAGATGTTGGCTTTAGTAATTTCAGAAAGTTCAAGTTCAATATTTTTAAAGGCCGAAATTACTTCTCAATGGAAAATCGAAAAGGAACGAAAAGACTGAGAAACAATTTGTAAGACTTCTTTTTTCAACGTTCATGGGAAAAACGAAAATTAAAAAGAAAGTGACACCATACATTTACTTAGTTGTCCGCAAAAATTTACTTCTCGATGTAATGGAAAACGAAAAGTCTAAGAAGTAAAATTATAGGACCTTTTTAAAACAATATTTGAAATGAAACTTGTATCAAAATATATAGCATTACATAGAGAGTTATTTCTACATAAACAATCACTAGTATTGATTTAATTAATATTATGTTTATTCATATTACGTCATGATATTTCTTTTGTATGATAAAAGCAAGTTACTTGTTAAAGAATATAAAATTACTTTTTTAGTTTATATATTATAGGACATTGTATTCTAAACGTGTTACTCTGTGAGTATTCTTGCAAGTTTACAATAGTATTGCCTAAAACGATTTGAAATATTAACAAAATCAACGCTATCAAGTTACCATCTTTTTTTTAAAAAAATGTGAAAATGGTAGTATTCATTTACAATTATTCTAAAAGTAAGATGTCTCAATAGCTATCATTTAAAAATCTATTCGACAGGTGGCAAATGATAACTTGTAGCAAGAACATTAACAAACAAAAATGTGATGTGTAGTTTCCATCTCTAGACAAATAATGATAATATGTAGCACAAAAAAGTGATGTGTAGTTTCCATCTCTTGACTAATAATGATAATATGTAGCCTTCGAAGTTTTTTTTTAATAAGCTTCTTGACAGGTGACAAAAAGGAAGTATTGACAATATCAATAATCTGTTGTTTCTTGAAAAATTTACTCTACAGCTGAAATAATGATAATAAGAATAAGTATCAACAACATTGACAGTCTCTTTTTTAAAGATATACTATGCTCATCTTTTAGTGAAAAAATTTAATCACAGAAATTTGTTGAAATCTATGAAAGTCTGACTGAATATGTCTAATTTGAATAAAAGAATCAATAAATTATGTATGAGAAGCTCAAGTAAAGATGGTCTTTTCTTTAAAAAAACTGCCACTTTTTTTAATGACACTATATTTTTATATTGTGACCACCAATAGTTTTTAGCATTTCAAAACATAATATATCTCCATTGTATGAAGTCGAAACATGTTTATTTTATGTTTACAAAGAGACTGTATAGCAATTATCAATATTTTCGAAACATGTTTATTTTATGTTTACAAAGAGACTGTGTAGCAATTATCAATATTTTCAAATATCAAATTTGAGCATAGTATATCTTTAAAAAATGTAACAGACCAAAAAGAATTTGCATCATTTACAATTTGTAATTTCCATCTTTTTAAAAAGCTACTTGAGAGGTGATACAGTCTGATCAGGATCCATGCTGTTCGCTATCAGTTTCCTTACTTGTTTTAGGGTCTGTAAGCGAACAGCATGGATCCTGATCAGACTGCGCGGATGCGCAGGCTGGTCTGGATCCATGCTGGTCGCAAACACATTATGTTGTTTTGTCGTGACGCGGCTCATATATATGCTCAAGGTGTAGCTTTCAGGCAAACATTTATTATCATATATTGTACAACTAAATTAAAAAAGTGTACATTCACTGAAATATTTACTTATCAATACTAGCTACTTTATACTTACAATGGAAACTAGAAAAGATAAGAAGAATTTAAAGTTTAAAATGGAATGGAAACTATTATTTCACATGGTCGATCAAAAGTAATATTACGATGAGATGTGTATAAAATGCAGTATTATTTAATTTTTTGTACGAGGCATATGGAACGATGGTGTTTCAAAAATATAACAGCAGTCCAGAGAAAAATATCTGATTTTAAGTAAAAATACACCGAAATACATTGTGCATTTAAACTCTGAGATGCAACTCAAGAAAATGAGAAAGAACTTATGTGTGACTAGAACTATCGTGTACAAATACTGAATGAATTCAATTTAGTTCAATTTTCAATACTAGTATCACTTTTTGAACTTTCGGATGAAATTTATCAAATAATGAAAACGTATCAATTGACGATGGTAAATGTTGTTCAAAATTTGAAAAATATCAGTTTAAATTCTTAATTGCTTTATACATTTTATCATAAAATAAATATTAACACTGTTACTGTATATTTGTTGCTATTTAAATTGTTAACAAATCTAAACGGTTGAATCACATTTGAAAATCTTTTGTATGTTTTACACCAAAATCAAACATATATTTCCATACATATGCGGAGTCAATAAACTACTTCTTAATTTCCATCTAAAAAGATATAATTTCCTGCAAATAAAGCATGATGAAAAAATAAACACACCTTACAATTTTAAAGAACTATTTGTTTATTCCGATAATTAAACAAGAAAATGAGTGTAAATATTGCAAATACATGTCAGAAAATCAGAATAATGTCACATTATTCCATTCAAACATTTGCTTAAAACCTTTTAGAATATTTTGGAGTCATTCTTTCAACCACAATTTTCGATCGATTCCAACGCCATCCTCCATTTTACAGAGAGTCCGCCCTATCGATTTATATCCACTCTGATTGGACAAAAATGCTACAGAGGCTGGTTCTCGGATTCATTTCAGCAATTGTAATGAAATGTTTAATAATAATAATCAATAGATATTTGCTGTCGTAATGTAGGAGTTTATCGGAACTGGTTCTAAAATGAGCGTTACGCGATTTCCTTCCCAAATTCACAAAAGTTCTTGTAACCGGCAGTTCAGCGTTCCGTCTCGGAAATTACCGACTTTCAGATCGGAAACAACACCGGTGAAAAAGATAATAGTGGAAATACTCACAAAATCAAACGAGGAAGGGGAAAATTGAGTGGAAGCGGAAAACATAGTAAACAGGAAAGAAACATTCAGAGATAGACAAATATAATTTTTGAAAACAATGCAAGGAATAAAACAGCCGGACTATTACAGAGCCTGTAGTTTCACCGGCTTTTCCGGAATGATGTTTCCGGGTAAGTTTATTTCTTTGTATAGGCCCCTTCTTGGGAAAATAAAAAAATATAATAACATACTCAATATAATTGACTTTAACATTTCCGAAAGAGTTTTAATATTTTCAATATTAATTTGTGAAATTAGATTATTTTTTTACATTACGCTAAATTAACAAAATGATAAATTGATATAAGATAATTTCTATTTAATTAAAACATTTTGTATTCAGGTCCTTGTCTTGACGATATAATGCGTTCGGAAAAATGTTACATTTTTATATTTTTCTAAAATTTTACTTTATTTTTTCAACAGTACTTGCACATTACATAGACCAAACCTTTCATTACTTTGAACAGCTGCAAAGCCTTTATAAGCATACTTTGGGGGACCTTTTTCTCATGTTTGATTTATTTACTTAATTAATTGGACATACGTAAATAAATGTTACTTATTTTTAATCTATATGACTGTATGCAAAGTAGCATAAAAAGTAAGTTCTTTTTTATTTAGTTTTTTTTCTTTCATATAAACATTATTCAAGACGAATAGTACTTGAACAAAATGTGACATTCTTATTTATTGAGCAACAAATAAAAAAGAAAAAAGTTATCGTAACATTCAAAAAATATTTATTAAGATAAAATAATAATTCAAACAAAGTTTTTAACTTTCGGTACATATTTCAGATCCTTCATACGGGAAGACTGCATGGACCCCTCAAAGTCCTGGCTCACAGATCCATCAAGGTGAGTAATGCTTAGATATATCACTTCTTCAAAAGAACGCGCTTTGTCGTCTGCTAATTCAAAATGATAACAACCGGGACGGTTTTGTTTTTTTAAATAAATTACTCAGTTTTAAAGTTTATTTATTTCGTTCCGTATGCTAAAACCAATGGGATAAAATATAACAAAAGGTAATGATTTATTCATGTTGTATTAAGACTTATGAAGATGAAGATTAGAGTTTTTGGTAGGCAATACAATTCAAGCAGACTAAGAGGTTGGGCCGAACGGTTTGAATTTCAGTAATACTATCTTCTTATAAAGATTCAAAATTTTAAACGGTTAACTGAGTATTAGAATAAAACGATCATTGCTAATTATATGATATAAGTGCATGAAGTGTAAAAGAAAAAAACCCCACAGAAACACAGATCTACTTGAGAAAAATGAACAAAGAAAATATCTGTCGTCTGCGTGATTTTTATACACGTTATTTTATCATCGGTATCTTATCTGTATCTATAAAGGTCAGCATTTGTGAAAAAATTTGTAAAAAAATATTACTAATTCAAATCTTGAAATATTCGACATTAAGTCAAACATGGCAGAAAATGATAGACTAGATAATTTTGATACAAGGTTTATACGTTCGGTTAATAATACATACATATATTAACTTACTTACTTAAAGCTTAGTGCGTGAACGTGTTGCTTACAAAATACAAGAAAAAAATGTAATGACGTTTGATTGTCATTGATTCTAAAGATAATAATTATTAAACTAATACTGATACTACAGCACAAGCTATAATTCAGTACAGAAATTGCGAGAGAGCGAGAAGAAAATTGAAGTTATTTCCTCAGACTGTGCCTAATTTAATCGTGACTTACATATCAAATAAAACAGAACGATGATTTCAACCTGGAATGCATAAACTATCTTGGGGTTTTTGTTTGTTTGTTTGTTTGTTTGTTTGTTTGTTTGTTTGTTTGTTTGTTTGGTGTTCGTTCGTATGAGATGAAATGCTAAAATGTTCATACTTTGAGAATACACATGAGCTTGATAATGTTTACAGAACAGAAAGAAAGTATCTTTTCTGTTCTGAATATGTTAACAAATTGTATTTTATTATGTATTTGACAAGAATTAAGCAACAGTATTTGAATGAAGTGATATAATATATTCAAAATACCATTTTTCTGGAACGTTTTTTTACATGTTTTTAATTGGTAAATGGTTATTAGAATATTTTTGTCATTATGCATTTTGAACACAATATAAATTGAAAGAAAATGATTATTCTTTTTCATATCAATTCATGTTTTATACAGATTGAACATAACGAAATAGTTCACTAATAACGTTTATTTAGTGAAAAAAAACGTGTATTTAAATGCAGCTTATGTACATATAATTTTCACTTTTATATTTCTATTTCTCAGCCTATTTCTGTATTTTCTTTGTGTGTTTTCGTTTCTTACAGCACTTACAATTTATCATATATATATATATAACACAATGAAAACATCTAATATTTATACTCAAGAAACTCTCGGGTCATTTTAAAATTATCATCTTTAGTAGATTACGATACTTCCTTCAATTGTTGATGTTTTTATTTTACTCGGATGAAATCTTTAGTATATTGCTTATTTCAAATAATTTCAAAAAAAAAAAGATATAGTTGAATTAAAACCATTTAAGTAGAAAGTGTACACACATATTTCGTGATTTGTAATAATTAACAATGGAAAGAAAACGTTACTGACCACCGCCAAGCAAATTAATGCGCGACTATTTGCAGAGATTCTTGCTGATTATCAGTCTAATTATCCTATCATTGGCCATTACTGACCAGTAACTGCTATAACTTATGTTCACAAACATTATTTCCGCATCGCCGTGCGCGTGCATAACGTTCAAAATATTGTCGTTATCATATTGCCGTTTTTATTGGCGGATTGCACGCAACCTGTGTTCGTTAGAATATCGAGAACTAGACTTGTTTTGTTGCTCTTATCATATCATATAATTCATTATGCTGAAACCTATCATTACCTTCTATATTGTGAAACAAGTACATGTATGTTTTGTTCATACTTTTCTCTCTCATCACATGTACAAGAAAATCAATTGTATCAATGTGACTTACTTGACAAATGGGATGTCTTTTCGATAACGAAATGGCAAACACCGTAATCATTATAACTATTGTCCTGCCTACAGAATTTGTTAGTCCTAAAGTAATTTCGTTGTTCTACACTTATTTGATATGTTTGATGTAGGTGTTGTCGAGCTTACAAAAACTTCTTATTTTAGATGACTAAATAACATGTTTTCTTGGATTTTTATAAAATCGTTTGTTTTTTTTAATTATTTCAGGTTATCCCCATCCCCACAGTCCTTTGTCGGCATTGGGTAAACCTTCATTAGAATCCGGAAATTCACCATGGAGACCCCAAGGTAAGCATCGGGTGTTTCCGATTTATTTATTATTCTTACTGTAGCTATGTGATCAAAAATTTACTTTCATTTTAAAATAATTTAATTACACGTTTCTAAAATTTTAATAACTCAATTTGTTATGCTGGATCTAATTTAATAAGAATTATTTTGTAGTATTATTTTGACCATCTCATACTTTATCCAGAAAATTATTTGTCTATTATTTGATTATTTATTTATTTGTCATATTAATGCAGTGCAATTTCGTTTAATTCTTCATAAATTGGGATTTTAAAATTAAATATTGCAGTCAAAATTGAAATTTCTTAAACATTAAAAATGATAACAATAATTATAAAAGATAATAATTATAAAACAGTATGTACTTAGAAATTTTCTAAATTACAAATAAAATCAAATAAAGACTGATACAAGACAGATAAAAATTGACAGTCATTAAATGAAGAAAATATGAATTCTAATTTACCAAATTAGCATAAAATATTGATGTGATTACATTCAAAGACTGATGATAAAATTCAATCACGATAGAAGTACAGTCGTAAATCGATCAAACATTTATTGTTCTTTTATATTTGAAACTTTCACTGTCACGTGAATGTTGTGATAAGACCCTTATTCAATGTTTTAACCGTCGATCTCATTTAAAATAACTACCCGGATAAACTATCCGACATTATTACAGAATCGTGCCGCTTCAAAAGCCTTCTCTCATATTTGTCAATTTTCAATATCAAGTACACTGTTGAAATGCCACGTACAGACCTTGTTTCCGTGATAACGGTCTTTCATACCATAATTGCCACTTTAAAATCATTTACATGACCATGTTTCTACATTTTTCATATAAAATGGTAATCCCCGATATTTGATTCGTGTAGAAATTGTTATAATAACCTCTCACCAGGGTGGCGAAGTGCGGTTATATCGAATTAATCTAGTGCGAATTGATTCATCTTATTCTTCTCTTTTGTTGTTGTTGTTTATCGAAACTAAGCATTAATGTCAGCCAACTTGTTTATATATTAGAATATATGAAAAAATGTCAACAAAATAATCTAACAGGATATGAAATTTATCAGGTTCCGAATTCTTCAACTTTGGACGTTTAATGTTTTATATTTTTCTGAAATCAATTTTGCAAAGTTATCAGAATAAACTTTTTCATCTATGCTTCTGTAGCAGCAAAGTTCATTTATAATAATGCGACGACTAAAACTCTTCTTTTTTTTAAGTCTAAAATTAAATTTTGAACTTATTGTTGACGACAATAGACCCTGAATACACAAAATGGATTCTCTTACATTTAAGAATATATATCATGGAAATATCATGAACAGTTTTATTGCCCGTGAGCTATAGATTTTTTTCTTCGGAAATTGTCTTAACTTAATGGCGGGATTTTTTGGCGGCGAAATATCTTAATATTCCGGGAACATTACGTAAATTATTCTTACACTGAGACATCCAATATGGCGTCATGCCGACCATTTCCGGAAATAGGATTTAATGATTACTCCCCATAATCATGATGATTATTCCATCGATATAATTGAGCGTAAATTTCCAAGGAAAGAAAATAATTCACAATTGACTAATGGAATATTTGACAAGTTCTTGAAATGATTGCTGAATGCTGAAGTAGCTCTTCAAAAAATGAATAATGATGCCTCCAGGAACAATTTTCTTATGTCAATTGTATTGGGACTCTTTCTTTCCCATTGTGTGCAAGGATTTTATTTCAGGGGTAATATTTGATGCTTTAATTCACGTTGTGTATTTTTTCTTTTTGTTTTTTCTTCAGGTAGCGGACAAATACAATTATGGCAGTTTCTTTTAGAACTACTTTCCGACAGCGGTAATGTAAACTGTATATTATGGGAAGGTACGAATGGGGAATTTAAACTCGTGGATCCTGACGAAGTTGCGAGGAGATGGGGTGAGAGAAAAAGCAAGCCAAATATGAACTATGATAAACTAAGCCGTGCACTAAGATATTACTATGATAAAAACATTATGACCAAAGTACATGGAAAGAGGTACGCATACAAATTTGATTTCGCTGGACTAGCACAAGCAATGCAGCCAAGTGCGCCAGACCCGGCAGCGTATAAATACCAACAAGACTTGTTTATGTCGAGCTATCATCACAATTCTAAATTCAACTACTTAAATGCGCACACTCCAATGACGTCATCGCCAAGTTTGTTCCCGCCACCGTCAAGTTATTGGTCGCCATCAAACGGGAGTTGTTCATTTTATCAGAATATTTCCAGTCCCCACATGACACATCATTCCGCACCGATGCCACCTACTCCACATATTGGGACATACTATTGAATATAGTTCAATTTTAATCCAAATATTCAAACTTCAATGAAGTGATATTTTTTCTGTATCACTCCGCTTGAAGCGGGATCATTTGACGAGAAAACGAACATCATAGATGGAAACGAGGCTGTGTCGTTATAAGCGTTGGCGCCGCGGGAAAGCCATGTATTACTGAACACCACGGTCACTTTTCAACAGTCTTGAACTTCAAAAACTGTTCGGGACTGATCTGTTTTGTTTGTTATTTTTAGAACTTGGCTTATTGTGATGCATGCATGCTGGACATTTCATGCGATCGTTAACGCTATATGAAAAGATAAAATATGAAATGGGTTCTCGATTGAGAAAAATTAAAACACGGAATGCTTATATAACAAGTGAGATTGCCAAAAAGCAGTTCTGATATTGTAATGTTCTTCTAGTCCGCTTTCTGAGACAATGTTCTTGATATTGCCTTATATACATGTCCATTACTCAAATATGTGCACGTGCATGACTCAAATACATGTAAATAATATATAGTCGTATATGTGCATGACCAAAATAATGTACATAACATACATACATGACTCAAAAACATGTACACTACTACTCAACAGAGCTGAAACGTGATAATTTAGAAACATGTGTACTTCAACGTCCGTAAAATTCTGACAATTATATTACATTATGTATATTTTAAATGTAATGTTTGTTTTAATATTCACTCGGATGACTTTGAACATGTTTTAATTTTCTAAACTGCATGTATACTATATACATGTATACATTACTAAGCGCTGAATTTAAACAAAAACCAACAATTATTTCAATTGTAAATATATAATCCATAAACTTTTGAAATAATACTTTGTCCAAAAACTTCAAAAATAACTTGATAATTATAGTAATAATTTGACCATATGTTATGCTTTTTTATAATTTAAACATATATATTATAAAGTAGCATTCAAAATTGTTCATATCTGACACAATTTTTGATAACATCCGTTGGAGGATGGACAAATTAAAAAGATTACTGCAGTATGTGTACTTATATGTTTATTTTGAAAGTTAATAAATAATCGACGTGGTATGAAAAGTGACGTAAACAACATATTAGTTTCCGTTTCAGCTCTGATAATGAATAATATCTGTGATCATAAAATGTTTCATTGTCTTGAAATATTATATATATATACATATATTTATATTATACATGTGATTTATAATTAACTTATGTTTCTGTAATTGTAACTTTTGTGTAAATTTAGAATACATTTTTTTCGATTAACTGTATTATTTGTGAAACCTGCCACAATTTTGCATTCATTTAATTGCATCAGGTTTAATTTGTGTTATATTTTTTTTCACTTTTGTCCAAATTAATGAGAATTATCATATATGCTTTGTTTAAAACAAAAAGATATTGACCAAATAAAAACCAGATAAACTCTAAGACGTCATTTTAATTGTGCTTAAATTTCATTCATATTACAGTGTATATGTATCGTGTGTTGTTCTTGACCAATTCAGACCTTTCATATTAAACAAAGCTATCAAAAGATATATTCATGTATTTCCTTTACCAAACACAGTTAACATATATTTAGAAACGGTCTGATGGACTGGGCACCAATTACTCACAAATGGTAATAAATAAGGCATAGATGCATTACACCCTTCCGCAGGAAATGTTGTTTTATAGCTCATAAGATAAATATGGTGTTGATCGATTACGTCTCGAAATGTCTATAAACTCAAAAATCACTCCGCCGATCACCGGACTATATTACGAGCAATCAACATCGGAAGGAAGAAGTCCGTGTTCCCGGCGTGTTTAATTTCTCTCTTCACTTTTCCCGTCTACAATAGTGTTGATATTTGACAGTTAGAAAATTGGATTTTGGCATCAGATAGGGCCCATGCAAGAGTTGCTTTATAGAGGAATGATTCTCTATCGTCCGTTAATAATGATATTTCTACGCACGAAGAGGAGACAGTAGGAACATTATTGACGGCCAAGGATCTTATCTTTGGAGTTTAGTTAACTAAAGAAGAAGCGTATTAAGTGATTTTATTTACGCTAATGAGATAAATGTCTCCTTTATGAGACCAAGAGAGCACAAAAGAATATGGAACACTCCCCGGAGAGTTAAACCACAGTCTTTTTTGCTTGAAATGAGCTGGAATTTCGCCATTGACGAAGTTCGCCCCGGCACGCGAGCAAATTCAATTTGATTCCAACACAAACAATTGTACAGATAACGGATTAGGGAGTCTCTGTGAATTCTCGTGATTTCTGGCGAACACCTGCAAAGATTCCGCAATTTTCCGACAAAAACCCAATAAATTTTCATATTGTCAAATCTAATGAATAGTCCCTTCCTTATTTGATTTGTTAGAACAATATCATCATTATGCAAAATACTTTCTTCATTCTTTATTTTGGTTTATTATGCGCATGTGCGGCTCGTGACTTACACGCGCCACATTCAAGATGGCCGGACGAGCATGATAGGACTGCTGAGTACAAAATATCAGATGTAAACAATGTCATAAATAAGTGTCATGACTTCATAAAAGAAAGAAAGACGGTATGAGTGATGACAAAATGTTGTACAACGTAATTTGCATATCACCCATACAATTAATATAATAATTTGAATGACTTGCTCACCGGTTCTGATGGGTATAGCTGTGATGACAAAACTATGGAACAAATATACTAGTACATGTACATTACTTACTGCCCGATTACAGTCACTGTAATACTTGGAAGAATCGTTTCTCACAAGAAATTCGAAAATTTGTTTTTATTTTGTTAATATTTTTCTTTAAGATTAGTGTTTTATATATGTATATATGAAATGAAAACGTGTTATGAATAAAAACAGTCGAGTATCCACCATTTCCGAACATAAGAGATTGCATGAAATGCACGACAAATGTGGATTATACTAAGTAATTGAACAATAGCTGAGAGTGACCATTCTTATGGTATACATGGCAGTATTAATGAAGGACAATTGTATAATGGTTGGGAGTAGTGAGTGGTTTCCTAAAATCAACACTTTTCAGTGAGTCAATATTATTCTCACCAGCCATGAGTAAATATTTAGCCACTAAGTATTTCTTTTCTTCTTTCTATTATTTATTTATTTATTTATTTATTTATTTATTTACTTATTTATTTATTCATTTATTTATTTGTATGTTTATTTATTTATTTATTTATTATGCCAAATAAAAAGATTTATCCCTTATGTCTCTACCAACGTTTAAATAAACATCAAATTAGAAAGTTTGCTTCTAAATCTAAGCATTATTTTAACTTTCCGCTTTTTACCTGGTTTCTTTCAGGGTTTTAACCACATCACTGTCAACCAAAGCAAATCACATTACTGCTAATTAAATTTGGGTATGTTCATAAAATACAATATTCGTAAACAATATCAATTGCAAATTACAATCAATAAAACGTTTATTCAACTCTTCTTGTAGGAATAAAGCTATAACAGCTAAATTAGTTTGTTATGCATTAGCTGCCGAAATAATTACTTTACCGGCTCACTCCACCACACCGATATTCCGTTATGGCGGCCATTATTTAAATTGGAACGTATGCCTGATAGATAGAATTTCTGTGCTCGCCCCGGCGAATTCAGATTATCGCTCGTTTTATTTTGACTTATTACAATGTCGCTGCTATCGCATCTTTACTCTGTCAAATGTCGAGATGAAAAATGAGCGATCAGGACACCATAACGGACAAACTGATTCTCAGTTTCCACAACGCGCGCGCGCACAAATGAATTACGTGGGACTAGCATGCCATTTGCTCCACGTGTGCTTTTGGCTAGGGCAAATCGTTTCTTCTTATATAGTACAGAACATATTAAAGCTTCATTTATTTATACTATTGATTTAAACAAAATGTTTACCGTATTGACATTTGAAACACCCGCCATATCACAGGCTGTCTTATCAATATACAGCGTACGTTTTTGTTAATATACTCTTCAATTCAAAAGTCTCAAAAAGTTCCATTTTATGCTTATCTAAAAAAAAAACAATTAATAACAAATAAATAACAAGATATGAAATAACTTTATTTCTTCCATAAGGATAATAGCCTACATAGCAACACAGCATATATTCAACAACATATTTTCAAACATATGCATAAAAAGCATAAACAGAGAAACATTTATACATGTAGTGTTCTATAATTCAGTTTGTTTATAGTTATGTAATGCTAATGATATTTGAAATAAAATAAACATACGAATATTACATAAGCTAAGCAATGGAAGGATCTAAATTTTTACTGATTTTTCCACAAAATCATTGTATGAAATTGTGTGATCAAAAACACAAAGTCTATAAAAGGTAAAATAACGCTTTACTGTACCATTGCCACATAAATAAATTAAAATAATGTTTAGTTTAGTTTTTGTCGCTGAACGTGAAATATACGGCCAATTCGTACATCCATCACATTTGCATTTATAGCAAAGAAAAGCCTAATACCGAGAAGGTGTAAGAAAGAACAGCCAGGGGAGCAAAATTCATCAACATTCACTTTTATTTGAACAACTTTAACTTATCTTGGAACGCCCTACTTGTGTTCTGATGTTCAAAAAGACAATTGAAATGTAAAAAAATATGAATCATTGAACCTTAATATTTTTACCCCATATAATCTATTATTTATTTTCCAAGACAAAAAAATCAACAGCAATGTTCTTAACAAATGCTGCTATATAATTACACACCTCTTACATTTTGTATAGTACATACACTAGTAAGTTCAGATTTCTAAAAGAATGACATAACTATAAAACTGTAAAAATATAAATAATTGAAAAACATGTATAAGTTATTTGCAAGTTTCAAAATCAGTAAGTGTGTCAGTCATGAAAAATGACGAAATCTTTCATAAGAATCATTTAGTACCAAGTTTTCAGCCAATTTGAGATTTTCGGATGGCAGAAGTACTGAGATTTTGCGGTCCAAAAGTAATGGCTGGTACCTTTCAATGATTAGGCGGTACTGATTTTCTCTATATGTATTAGTAATTTCAACCGAGCTCATAATTAGTAGTCAAACAATGTTACCAGTGGACCACATGCCAGCTATTAGATCATTCAAATGCATGCTATTCAAAATAGAGAGGAAAAAACAGAATCCCTAAAGAACGCCTAAAACGGCAAAATTAAACCTGTTGCAGACTCGGTTTGACTGAGAATGTTTATGGACAATAGTGGTAACTTCAAGCTACCGTTCACACCCCATAGCACCGGCTTAAGCAGAATTCTAGCCAAATGTGATGACGTAAGACAGTATCAAACTTTAGAACATTGTAGAAATAAAGAAATCATGATGCTATATGTTATTGTTGGGGATACAAATCTCTAACACCGTTTCTATAGTGATCATTCATTAACCCTCATTACTTTAATGTCCTCACTATATGTTGTACTTGTCAAACTGTAGTTTTTAGTTTGTAACGGCCCATTACCTACACGTTCTCTAGCATCGTGTTGTTTTAACGGCAGACGACATGTTTCTCATTTTTAATTATCGTCTGCTAAAAGTTGCAATTTATCTTCTTTTTTCCTGTATATATCGACCCTTTCGTAAACCAAATGATCAATGGGGTTAAAAAATTGTCACATTGATGAAATCGCGAAAAAATGTAAAGGAACAAAAATAACTTGGTCTTGTTTATGACTAGGTTAGTGCTCAAAAGTCATCTTAACGTTTGTTGTTTAAAACTACATGTATAGTAATTTACTTCGATTGTGTTATAATGAAAATGATAAATACGAAAATTAAGTTAAAACTTGAATATGGCCCTTTAGATAAAATTCCGATAAATAAATGAACAAAGGAATGGTCACGAATGGAATGAAAAAACACATTCATTCAAGATATACAGTAACATGCATTTTTTTTCTGTTTAAGAGCTTTGAAAATACCAGTATTGTCGCGGTAAATTTTTCATACATTTTGTTTTGGAATAGAAAATCAGGAAAAGGGGTTTTCCCTCGGAAGCAATAAAACAACAACATGATATGAAAACTGTAGACTCGGTTTGATTGAGTCTGTTCATGAGAGATAATGTAAATGTCAAGCCCCCTCCCCCAGCACCGGCTTAAGCGGTATTCATTCTAAGTTTAGTTTATACAAATTTATTTTAGTACGATTGTGTTGAAAGCTATAAGCTTATTGAAATACTCTCGATTCCTGGAACCAACTAGTACAGTACAGTATTCATTCTTCAACACTGATATGTTGGAATCTTTGATACCGAAGGACCAAAAAAATATATAATACATAAAACACTGAATATGTTTTCAGGTGTAAATATTATTATTTATTGAAAGCCGTGTTAGTCATGGTATTGTATATAGCCAGTGACCAACCTTTCAACATTT